ACCCACTGTGCTATCACTAAGAGACAAAAAAAATCTGTATGTTAATTTCAAGTGAAGATAACTTTATGCTTCTATCGGTGACTTAACACAAAGCATAAACTCTAGCAAAAAGACCTTGATTTAACTCATAGATACTTCACTTTTGTATCAAGTTACTCTTTTCTCTTTACTTCTGTTCTCTCATAAAAGAATTTAAATTTATATTTGCATTACTTCAAGGGGTTCTTATGAAAAGTAAATTTTATATGGGAAGTGTTTCACAATAGTGTTGGCACATCAGAAACAGTAAATATGAAAGTTATTTAGCACTGTAGCACTGTAGCACTGTCCTCCCATTGTTCATCGATTTACTTGAGCAGGCAGCAGTAATGTCTTCACTGTGAGACTTGTCACTGTTTTTGTCATATCAAATACACCACGGGGAGCTTGAAATATAAAAATATTTTATATATGTATCTTAACTTATGGGCATATTTATTTATAGAACAATTCCTTAGTACCTGAGAAATAATAACAAAGATCCTCAGTATAACAGAGAATAACTTGATGATTATTGTGATTATTTTCCACAAAACTATCTTAGAGTATTTTCCACAGGACTATCTTCAAAAAAGACAATATTTGGGGTGAATAGTTATACAGTCAATAACCACATATATGCTCTGTAATGTACAAATGTGCATCTTAAATACCAAACTACAAAAAAGCAATATCATAGCCAAAACATATTCCTATTAAATGTAATTCTAGCATTAAGATATTCATTTTTATATTACTAAATATTAATTTTATTCAAGTCAATAGTCAATTATTCAAGGCTGGAGCGATAGCACAGCGGGTAGGGCGTTCGCCTTACAAGCGGCCAACATGGCCGACCCGAGTTCGATTCCTCCGCCCCTCTCGGAGAGCCCGGCAAGCTACCGAGAGTATTCGATATGCCAGACACAGTAACAACAAAGTCTCCAATGGAGACGTTACTGGGCCCGCTCGAGCAAATCGACGATCAACGGGAGGGCCTTTACCTTTACCTATTCAAGTCAATATACATTATGGAGTATCAAACAAAATTACAGTCTGGTGCTAAGTTGAGTAACAGAAAAGAAGAAAATCAAGTTCCTATCCCTGGGTAGATCTCAGAACACTAGGATGAGAGACTCTCACATAGAAGTTAACCAGTCATAAGAGAAAGTATATAACTCAGTGCTAATTATTGGTATAGCTCATAACAACAAGTTGTAAGAATTCTGAAGAAGAAGATAAGCTGTAGCAATGGAAATCTAGAAGAAGGGGATGAGGGGGAATGTTTTATAAATGACTATGATTAAGTTAACCTGTGAGTATTATTGTTTCCTCTTTTTTGAAATTTGATAGTTTAATGCTTGTAAAATGCCTAGCACTCTAAAATAAGAAAAAATTGTGGTGGGACTAGTATAAAACTAGGTTGCAGAAAGTAGAATACTCTGTCTCAAGTAAAAAAACACACAACTCCTTTTTAGAATCTTAGATTCTAAAGAGAATGAAAAAACTTTAACAAGTAATATAATATCCCTACTATAACATGTACAATTTTCTATGGCAAGTAGCAATGGCTTCTTCGTTCACCCTCTGCCCCCAACAGCTTCCTGAACTCACAGAATCTGGTACATATTGAGATACTAGATGCTTTTTTCCAAGCAAACTATCTTCCTATAGAAATAGACATGACATAGAAGGCATGTATCTTCTTTTTTCCCAAATACTTGTTTTAGTTGGCCCTTCCCTTATTCAAGTGATGGCAATCAGAGCTCTGTATCAAGAAATGTTATAATTAGCCTGGCAAGCTACCGAGAGTATCTTGCCCGCATGGCAAAGCCTGGCAAACTACCTGTGACATATTCGATATGCCGAACACAGAAACAACAAGTTTCACAATGAAGACGTTATTGGTGCCCGCTCGAGCAAATCGATGAACAACGGGAGGACAGTCTACAGTGGACAGTGCTACAGACAGTGCTAATATTTTTAAATTTTCTATATGTAACCAATCAAACGTTCTATACCACAGTCTCTCCAAATACAATGGCAATAAGACAAAAAAAAAAAAAAACGCGTGCCCGCAGAATGTGTCAACAAAATTTTGGAAAACCAAACTTAGCAAGAGTTACATGCACTGGGGGCTGGAGCAATAGCACAGCGGGTAGAGCCAGGAGTAACCCCTGTGCATCGCCGGGTGTGACCCCAAAAGAAAAAAATAAGAGTTACATGCACCTTATATCACTGAAATCTTTCTTAACATAACCAGTTAGAGCACTGATGAATTACAATTTGAAATACCTTTGCACTGGTATTTCATTGAAGTCCTGCATCTCTCACTGTAATTAAGTTTCCCTCACAAGTCAACAAAGTAAAATAACCAGAACAGTCATCATAATCATTACTTTGACAAATAAAGTCATGGCTTCTATGACAGGTTAAAGCCTAGCACTGACTTCTGGATGAAAAATAGAAGGCACATTAGAGTTATAAAAGTTCCTCCCTTAGGGCAAGTTATTTAAGTTTCAAGCAATTTCAGTCATGTATCACAGTAGCACAGTCCTACTGTTGTTCATCGATTTGCTCGAGCAGGCCCACTAATGTCTCCATCGTGAGATTTGTCATTACTGTGTCTTGGCATACTGAATACATCATGGGTAGCTTGCCAGGCTTTGCCGCACAGGCGAGATACTCTAGGTAGCTTGCTGGGCTTTCTGAGAGGGGCCGAGAAATCGAACCCGGCTCGGCCAGGCTGGCTGTGCACAAGGTAAACGCCCTACTGCTGTGCTATCGCTCCAACCCAGTCATGTATCACAGGTTCTAAATTTCTACAGAGAAAAATTAAGAAACATGCCCAAAGGAGAACTGAACATTCAATGTATATTATGAAGTATATTACCAAAGTTTTGGTAATTGAACATTTTTCTATGTAAACTCACTTCAGTATATCAGGCTTTCAGAGTTTCTATGTTAATACAATGTGACCACACAAATGTAAATTATTTGTAATTGTTTGCAAAACAAAACTGCTTTTCCCATTGATCTCCTATGCTTTTATAGACCACACCTGCAGAACTTCATTTTGATTAGGATTTCATTCCTGCAGGCTACAGTTGAGAGGGTCTTTGGTTTCCTGGTGGTGACACACTAGCAGGAGAGTAAGAGTGACAACTACACACTTCTCACCAAGTTGCAGGAAGGAAAATCTGCATTGTTTATTATCCCTTTATTATAAACAGGATGCTGCTTATAATATTCTAACAGCAATACTTACAAAGCACAGTATTCTAGCCACTATGTAAGTATGGTTAAAAATGCATGATTCTCTTCTCATGCATTTTATTCTTCTCAAATATCTTATGGTTTGAGTTTACTCTATTTCTGTATGTGGCTCAAGTGTATTTATGGTCTTGATAATCAAAAAGACATTCAAGATGTGATAAATCATAACTGTTGGGCAAGACCTCAAATGAAGTAATGGGAAAGAATTAAAGGGACTGCTGGTGGTAAAAACTTGAGGCACACATACACATAATCATGCCTTCAATTCAAGGGGCATTTGGTTATAATGTTTCTGTTACAAAGTACCATAAAATCAAAAGTTCAGAATCACACAAAGTGATTATTCTACTCTCCTGGAATTTAGAAATAATAAAATTGAGTGTTGTCAGGGTATATCCCCTTGGAGGTTCTAGGAAAAATACATTTCTTACCTTTCCAGTTTCTTTTTCTTTTTTTTTTTTTTTTTTTTTTTTTTGCTTTTTGGGTCACACCCAGCAATGCACAGGGGTTACTCCTGGCTCTGTACTCAGGGGTTACTCCTGACTCTGTACTCAGGGGTTACTCCTGGCTCTGTACTCAGGAGTTACTCCTGGCGGTGCTCAGGGGACCATATATATGGGATGCTGGGAATCGAACCCCCGGTGGGCCACATGCAAGGCAAACGCCCTACCCGCTGTGCTATCTCTCCAGCCCCCCTTTCCAGTTTCTTGACGCTCCCTTCTTCATTCCTTATATACTGGTTTCTTCCCTGAAGCTTCAAACCAATAACACATAAAACAGGAAGTAAGGCATTTGCCTTCAATGTGGCTGACCCTGGTTCAAATCTCCAGCACCATATATGGTCACCTAAGCACCGGTGAATGGTCCCATATTGCTATTTTTGTGAAGCCTTGTAAACAAATTATACTTTTCTTCTTCACAAGTCAACAACTGAAACGGTCTTAGGGATAGTCCTCAAAATAAACTTAAATGTGCTGATTGCCAAGAAGATACTTCAATAGCTTTTCCAACCTCCTCGCAGAAATAAATTCTGCACACTACAGACTCATGTTTGGAGCTGGCATTCGCTCTCTCGTCTCCATGGTGGAAGAATGATCCCAATTTAATCCTTGTCATCTGCATGTAGCAGTTCTTTGATGCAGATTATAAATGGACTTTGACAAGAATGCTATGCACTACTTTAGGCTAAAACTCCTGGTAATAGTAGAAACTAGAATTGGTTATCATCTGTTCGCATCTACTTGATAGGGGAAATCAATTTGCTATATATCTTAACTGAAAAGCATTTTGCTCCAGAAAATTATGGGGTAACTAGTTTATGTTTCTGCCTACGATAAAGTTCGGAACCAGAGAACAAGTTTACTTTGGACGGGATAGCAGGCTAATGCTGGACCCGGTCGTTACAACTGCCCCAGTCTAGAGGCTAAAGCCAGTTCCCAGGTGCTACTGCAGGAGGGTCGCGGCTCCCTTCAGTCTCGGAAGCCGATCGACACTTAATTGTGCATCAAATTACGGTCCCGATGGATTAACCCCCAACACGGCAACACAAAATTCTGCCGCTGGCAACAGCGGAACCAATCACAGGCAGAGGAGAGTTCTCGCGTGAACGCCCTCCCGCCTTGACGTCATCCTCACGGATGTGCTCGCGAGACTACAGAGGGGGGCGGGCACCGACAGCTGCTTCTCCCGGAGTGCCGTACCTCCGAGGAAAACAGTCGTTTGTCCTTACCGTTGCTTCTAACGGCCCTCAGCAGGAGCGACATGGATGGGGAGGAGAAGACCCCTCTCCCCCCAGCCCCCAGCCCTCCCGCCCCCGACCCTGCCGCAGTCGACGCGCATCCCCACCAGAGCCCGAGGCTCCGCGAGGAACCTGAGGCGTCACAGGTGATGGCGACGACCGGTGAGGAAAGCTCGGAGGTCTCGGCGCTCCCACAGCCCCAGCCTTCAGAGGAGGGGGGAGCACGCCGGGAGTCCGGGGCCTGGGGCCTGACCCCTCAGGCCCTGGTAGCCGGGGATCACTGTTACGTAGCCTCCAATGTGGAGCCTCTCCCCGACTGCCCCGAAGCCGTCTCGGCGGCCGTGGCAGCTTACTGCCGCCTGAGGAGAGTCGGTCAGCGCGGCTTCGGCGGAGACTGGGCCCGAGGCGGCCGTGGAGCCGAGAGGTCGGGCTTCGGGGCGATGGCGCCGGCCGAGAAGCTCTCGAGCTCGGCCGTGGAGGAGGAGGGGGAGGAGGCGGCCCAGGGAGGCGTGAAGGAGGAGGTGGCGGGAGAGGAGATGGAGGTCGGGGAGAACCCGGCGGGGGCTGGAGGAGACGCGGCGGGGAGGAATGGACCCGCGCCGGCGCTCCGCTTCCGACCCCTGCCGATGGAGCGGCGGATGAACCCCCTGGAGGCCATCCAGTTGGAACTGGACACGGTCAACGCCCAGGCCGACAGGGCCTTCCAGCATCTCGAGCAGAAGTTCGGGAGGATGCGTCGCCACTACCTGGAACGGAGGAACTACATCATTCAGAACATCCCGGGCTTCTGGATGACGGCCTTCCGCAACCACCCGCAGTTGGCCCCCGTCATTAGGGGCCAGGATGCAGATATGTTAAGGTACGTCACCAACCTGGAGGTGAAGGAACTCAGACACCCGAGAACGGGCTGCAAGTTCAAGTTCTTCTTCCGACGCAACCCCTACTTCCGAAACAAGCTGATTGTGAAGGAGTATGAGGTCCGGAACTCTGGCCGGGTGGTCTCTCTCTCCACGCCCATCGTCTGGCGCCGGGGCCACGAACCCCAGTCCTTCATTCGCAGAGACCAAGACATGGTCTGCAGTTTCTTCACTTGGTTCTCAGACCACAGTCTTCCCGAGTCTGACAAGATCGCCGAAATTATCAAGGAGGATCTGTGGCCAAATCCACTGCAATACTACCTGTCTCGTGAAGGAATCCGCAGGCCCAGACGCCGCCCAATCCGGGAGCCAGTGGAGATCCCTAGGCCCTTTGGGTTCCAGTCTGGTTAACCGTCCACCCCGGAGAAGTTGCACAAAATCCCCTACCACCTCTTGCTGGACCTGTGCTTACATCAAAAATGGGTATGACTCCCCCTCCCCACACTCCATCCTTCTCTGCTGTATCTGTGACCTTCATTTCTCTCAACTTCCGAATTGAGAATTTCCATGGAGACGATTTTCCTCTTCTGCATAGCCTTCGTATTATTCTGCTTTGCTATCCCATGCTGCATTGTCATCGCCAAGCAAATGATACTGTAGATTGCACTGCTTTTATCTGCTCTGTTTGGATCCTGTTTCCAGGACTTTTTGTCTCTTGCTTACAACTTGCAACCTGAAACTTTTTCTAGGAGCATTCTGTACACGTTTTGCCATACAGATATATAGCCCGTGGACAGTTGGTGAGCGTTAATGGTATCGAGGGAGAGCATCACTGTACGCTTTGGTTTATGAGAATCCATTGTTCGTTTTTTGTACCTCTGGTCACCTATTGCTTCCTGTTACTATGTTAACTTTCAGACTGTTTTCAGCCCTGTTGTTTGGTTTCTGGTAAACAATCTCCAAAACTGGTCTGGCGGTAGACACAGGTTTTCTCTCAGCTCACACACACACACACACACACACACACACACACACACACACACACAAACATCCTTCCACCCCCTCATTTCTTACCTTCCTTCTCCATCTTCTAGATGTGCTGTCACTAAAGTAATTGAAGTGATATGATGGACTCAGCCCTCAAGGCAAAGTTAGGATAGTGGCTATTCTAAATACCAGACTTTGTTAGTTCGAACTAGCAACATTACATTAAAAAAAATCTAGATACCTTCGTGTATCTCTTCTCTTTCTGAACATGGTTAAAGTACCAAAGGGGCAATTCCAGTTCTCCAGTTTTGTTTGTCTCACAAACAAAAAGCCACAACTTTTCATTTTTTCCTGGTGATAGGTTGTCCTATAAAATAGGTTGCTATAACACTTAAATATGCCTTTCACTTCTTCAGAAACACTTTGTGGGTTTAAAGGAAGATCTAGATGTAATGAAAAGTGATTGTTCAAAACAGGTAGGTTAACTAAAGAGAATGTGGTGGTTTCTCCAAACAGGAGAAACAATAAAAAGGCAAAGGTGAAAATTAGGCCTAAAATGAGACTTCAAGGAAGACGTTTTGTCGGTGGTGATGGGAGGAGAAATACTTACCAGTATTTCCATGGGACCATTGAAGGGAGCTCCAAGGGAGTTGTTTATAGAAGAGTTCTTTAAAGAAATGGCACACAACTTTGGGTGCTTTATTATTTGTATATGACTTAGTTTGTACAGAAAATGAAGACTATGTTTTGTTTCTTTAGCATTTAGTAAAATCTTCACTCTCTCTTTGCTTACCGGCAAAGGAGCTCTATAGGCTATATTGTGCTTTCTGTTGGGAGCATTTAAAAATTTTTGTTTTATTTTGTGATAGAGACAATTATTCATGACAGCTTTTAATTTGATTTTGTTTCTGTTAAAACTGTATTATTAATATAATTTGAATGACTTGTTCTTACCAGATTCTGAAGACTTTGAAACTGTTATCTTCTTGGAAAAGTAACAGAAAAGGTGTGGCTTAATTTTTGACTTGATAACTTTCTTTTGTAACAATTTGATAGTTGACATCTCTTCTCCTATACCGTAAGTGCTTGTGAAATTGCTGTCAAATTTGAAAATGTACCATTAACATAGTTTTCCTTATGTGCATGATGGTAAAATAAAAGCATGTTAATCTTCTCAGTGTCTTTATTTTTTGTATTTTGAGTTACACCTAGTGATGCTCTGGGAACCATGCAGTATTGAGCTTAGAGCCTACATCTCCTGAATGCAAAGCAAAAGCTCCCACTGTTAAGCCTTCTCCACAGACCTTTTTTTTTTTTATTAGATAACATTATAGAATTGAGGTGCTTAAATGGATATAGTAGGCTTTATTCCAAGGACAGAAAATAAGGCACACCACTGGACCATCCAAGGTAGAAATGGTTGTTTAAGAAATGTTGTCTTTTGGAGCTGGAGAGATAGCATAGTAGGTAGGGCTTTTGCCTTGCATGTGGCCGACCCAGGTTCGATTTCCAGCATCCCATATGGTTCCCCGAGCATCACTGAGAGTAATTCTTGAGTTCATGAGTCAGGAGTAACCCCTGTGCATCACCAGGTATGACCCAAAAAACAAAAAACAAAAAAGTTAAAAATAAGAAATGTTGTCTTGCTTATAGCAAGATGTTAATAATGACAGCAGTCTTTTTTTTTTGCCTAATATAGTTTACGCAGAACTACCACCTCTTCCCTTCCTCAAATATCTCTATTTCTGTCTTCATTTTATTATTAAGCTATTCAGATTGTGTAGTCACACTTAATAACTAAATGTTCAAAGTTCCTATCAGTGATACTCTATACCTGTACTTTTTCTCTGCTGTAAAAACTTTTGTTACTGCAGGTGTTTCATTTTCTTTTCTTTTTTTTTCTTTTTCGTTCACACCTGGTGATGTGCAGAAGTTATTCCTGGCTTTGCATTCAGGAGTTACTCCTAGCGGTGCTTGGGGGACCATATGGGATGCTGGGAATCGAACCCGGGCCAGATGCATGCAAGGCAAAACTTGCTGTACTATTGCTCCAGCTCCAGATGTTTAATTTTCTATGTCAAAATATTCAAAGCCTTTTACAACATTTTTGTCTTACGGCCTCTCTATACTGACTAGGAATGTAAAATAAGATCGGGAGTAGAATATAACACACAACTCACAGTGAGTTACACAAATATTTTAAACTAAGAAGGGGAAAAAATAGTTTATTCCATTTATTGTTATAGTTGGGAAAAGACTAATAGGTAAAGAAATATTTCATTCAAAGTGATAGAGCAAAAATACAAGAAAATACAAGTGTATTTTTACATTTTTTTCTCTCAGTTTGGAAGCTTTGTAAAAGCAGAGATGGGAGAAGGGAATTTATTACATCCCTGTTTCTAGTATAAGTTTTGTTACTGGATATTGAATGACACAATGAGCATCTCCACTGGAGAAATAGAACAAAATAGACTAGTATCCAGACTTGATGAGGGAAAGAAAATGTGATTTTTTTCCCCTTGGTTTGGTTTAGTTTTGGGTCCACACCCAGTGGTGCTCAGAGATTACTTCTGGCTTGCACTTGGGAATCACTCATGGCAGACTTTGGGGACCATATGGAGTGCCAGGGATTGAACTTGTGTCAGCTGTGTGCAAGGCAAGTGCCCTACCTACTGTACTATTTATTTTCAGCTCCTGGAAAACAGTTTATAAGGTATTGTTAAAATTCTTTTTCTTTTTTTTTTGGTGGGGGGTGCACACCAACCTCCTGGAGGGCTTGGAGCTTGGTCATCCGTGGGATGCTGGGGATCCAGCCAAGGTCGGATATGTGCAAAGCAAGTACCTTACTATGCTCTTTCTGGCCCCCCAAACTACAAAATTTTTACCAGAAAAATTCTCTTAAATCATTAGAAAAGATCAAAACAATAGCTTTTTATATGTCTGCTTGAAAAAGCATTACTTAATTTTGGGTCAATTTTTACGTGTTTTAGTTCTGTACATTTCAAAGTCAACTATTATGCTGGAAATAGGATAGATATGCATTGGCCAGTGTGGTAGCCTCTACCTGGCTTTTCTGTTCATTTGTTTTAATTTGCCAATGTATATCCAATTCAGAATGCTCGAGCGGGCCCAGTAACGTCTCCATTGGAGACTTTGTTGTTACTGTGTTTGGCATATTGAATATATCACGGGGAGCTTGCCAGGCTCAGCCGTGCAGGCGAGATACTCTCGGTAGCTTGCCGGGCTCTCGGAGAGGGGCGGAGAATCGAACTCGGGTCGGCCATGTTGGCTGTGTGCAAGGCAAACGCCCTACCTGCTGTGCTATCGCTCCAGCCCAATTGTCCCAACTCAGAATAATAATTATTAAATAGCATTTTGTGTTTATTACACAGGCTATTTAAATTTAAATGTGGCTAGTTCAATTTGAGTCTGCAAGTAAAAATTATGCTTTGGATTTCAGAGACTTAGAATGGAAGAAAGGCCCTCCCATTGATCGTCGATTTGCTCGAGCGGGCCCAGTAACGTCTCCATTGGAGACTTTGTTGTTACTGTGTCTGGCATATCGAATACTCTCGGTAGCTTGCTGGGCTCTCCGAGAGGGGCGGAGGAATCGAACTCGGGTCGGCCATGTTGGCCGCGTGTAAGGCGAACGCTCTACCCACTGTGCTATCGCTAAATGTACAGCATCTCAGTTATCAGTGGCAGTGAATATTGAAATAATACTTTGATAAACTAAATGAAATATATTAGCATTTCCCTTATTTTTCCATTTTTAAAATTTGACTTCTGGTAAATTTTAAGTTATATAGAATAGCCTGACTTTTGACCTGTTGGGTAGAATATATTAAAGCAGATAAAGCATCTAAAAATTAAAATATGTTTTCCCATGAAATTTTTTGAGACGTTAAGGGTTATCAAACAAATATTCACGATGAAGAAGCTGCAGGCAGAGGTCAGTTTTCAAAATGTACTATGCAAACTTGATACAAATAGAGAAGCTCTAGGTACCAATTTGATACTGATCATTATACTGTCTGTTTAGCTACTAAAATCATTTGGGTCCTATAGCTTGGTATTTTTCTAGAAAGACAATATTCTGGGTAATTTCTGTTCATTTGTTTTAATTTGCCAATGTACATGCAATTCAGAATAATTACTAAATAGCATTTTGTGTTTATTACACAGGCCAGCAACATTCTAAATTAATGTGGCATTACATTAGGTCAATATCTTTAAAACAGCATATTTCACTCCAGTTTTTTGTTTATAGACCATATCCAGTGGGCTTAGGACTGACTTCTGGCTCTGTGCTTTGGGGACCATATGTGGTCTTGGAGATCAAACCCAGCTCAGCTGCATGCAAGGCAAATACCTTTCTTCCTATATTTTCAACCCAAGAAGCTTATTCTTTAAAGATGATATGGATTAGTAGGATATTCTTGCTTTTGAGGAACTGTTATCTATTATCCTCAAGGCTGAGAAGAAAAAGTAGCATTCTGTGGTTTCTTTAGCAAATTCACTTAACCCTGTGTGCTAGAAAACTTGGCCTAGAAAAGGCGACTTTATCCATTAGTATTGGAAGCATTTAACTCTGAATATGTTCTTCACTTGCAGTGCAGTGCTTTGATCCGTTTCTTCTGTCCTCAGTTTCCTAAGATCTATAGAATTTTCATAACTTGGGGGAGGGGGAGTTAAATTTCAGCTTCACTTTTTCAGAATTTGTCATTAATGAAATTTCCTTGATAGAAAATTAGTAACAAATGGTTCTATTAAAAGTTAAAAAGTTAAAAGTGCACATATTAAGCTACTAAATTTTATAAATAGGTTTTTTAGTGAACTGAAGAAGTAGGGAAGATTTAAATGGGGTTGAATCAATGTAAAACCATTTACTATCTAGTGCAAAAGAACTTTCTCTAAAGCATCAGTTTCCTTCCCTTTATTATAAGTTAATATTCTTGATGATTGGAAAATGCATTATAAACCTGATAACACCTATAGCAAATACTTGGAAATGTGTATACTATGCACTGTGTTTAAAAAATGAAAACACATTTTGGGATAAAGTAGTCAATAAGTATTAATTTCTTTCCATTTCCTTCCTATTCGTTATTCATCCAGACAAGTTGTTAGTCTAGTCTGATATTTCTCAGACCTGACTAGGGTTGAGTGATGGTAGGCACGAACTCTCGCCACTTTTTTTTTTTAATTGAATCACTGCGAGATACAGTTACAAAGCTTTCATGTTTGAGTTTCAGTCATACAATGATTGAACACCCATCCCTCTACCAGTGTACATTTTCCACCACCAATATCTTCCATGCCCCCAGTGAAACACCATGAGGTACAGTTGTAAACTTACAAATTTTTGTGTTTAGATTTCAATTATACAATGATTGAGTACCCATCCCTCCACCAGTGCCCATTTTCCACCACCACTGATCCCAGTATGCCTCCCACACCTCATCCCCCTTATCCCACCCTGCCTCTGTGGCAGGGCATTCCCTTTTGTCCTCTCTTTCCTTTTGAGTGCTGTGGTTTGCAAAAGAGGCATTGAGTGGCAATCATGTTCGGTCTGTAGTCTACTTTCAGCATGCATCTCCCATCCTGGGACCATCCTCCCAATACCCTGTATTTTCTCGCCACTATCTTATCTCCTAACCTGTCCTGTTCTCAAAGTTGCTGACTACTTGCAAAACATTTTAAGTTTTTATTACTCTGTAATTTCATTTATAACTTAAAATTTGGAATTACCTCTTTTTTTCTTCTTATGTCTCAATTCCAGGCATAATTTTTAACTCTAGACTTTTTTTGTGGTGAGGCATACTTAGTGGCCCGGGATCTGTTACCAATGATACTCTGCCTACTTCTGTGAACCTGAAGGTATAACAGCATCAGCACTGATGTAGTGCTGTTCAGGCCAGCAGTGCTGGAGTCCATCAGGGGTACACACAGTGCTGCTTGAGGCGAACCATGTGGTGCAGGGGATTGAACTCCAGGCCTACCTCATGCATTTCAGTCCTCTGGACTTCTGCCCCAATAGAGATTTTAACTTGCAAATCAATTGGAACTGACATTCTCCATTTACTGAAGGATGTCTATTCAGGACTATCATCTGGTATATAGCATTGACAACATACTCTATAATAATAAAATAATCTCCTAGAGCACTTTCGA